TTGGCTGGCTATCACTTATTACCCCATTGGACTTGATCCAGATTCGGGAAGGTGAATCTATGCATACAATTCAGATTATCCATGACTGGGTTGAGCTTCTTAATGCTAAAGTCTTGGTTTAGTTCTGTTTACAGGATCAATATTGCAGGCTCTTGAGACAATACCTATTGCTCATATTGATAAACGAAATGTCTTCAGGACTATTTCGTCTAATTGCTGCAGTGGGCAGAGATATGACTTCTGCAAACATATATGGATCATATGTATTAGTTTTTATTCTTGTGTTGGGCGGATTTATCTTGCCTTACGGTAAGAAATTTTTTTTTTTTTTTGAGAAACTAGCACCACGGTGCTTTATATATAGATATAAGTATTACAACCAAACAAGTTGTCAACCAGGTACAACAGGAGGCAAAGAGGCCTGTCTAGCCAGATCATGGCATTGTTGAACCTGCTGACGGGAGACCTTACAGATTCTAAAGGAAGAAAAACCTTCCAAACAGTAAAAGATATCTAAGATCAAAGACTGAAGCTCCCTTGGAGGAGAGATTTGACGCCGCAAAATCTGAGAAAGTATCAGACAGTCCGTGCATAACAGTATATCCGAATGAGAAGAAGAATCCACTGCTTCCAACGCATGAAGGCAAGCAAGAGCTTCAGCCTGTAGAGCAGAAGACGCATAGAATGCGATGCTACTGCGAGACGAAACAATTCCATTAGGCAGGGAAAAAAATCCATCCAGCTGCCGCAGCATGAGATTGGGGATCAAAAGCTCCATCAAAATGCAACAAGGAGACCGTACCAAGACAGAGGGAGTCGCCATCATCATCTTCGGTCAAGACAGGTGTCAACAGTGGCTTTATTGGACTATATGACTGACTCTCTCGAACATCCTGTTGAACCACCTGAAGAAGTGATCATTCCTCGCCATCTTCAAAAATTGCACGGTTACGATCTTTCCAAATCTCCCACAATAAGAACATGGATTGGCATCGAAAGGAATCATCTGGGACTTGAAGCATCCATCGAGTAAACCATTCCGCAAAGGAACAAGGATTGGCAGACGAAAAATCAAAACCAAAGGCCGAAAGCCTCCAGATAGCTTTAGGTCGGATGCAATCAAGAAGCATATGAGCTACTGTTTCTTCCTGCTCTCCACATCGCACACAGTGGAGCTACAGTTATCCCCCTACGGGCTAAGGTTTGCAGCGTCGGACAAGCATCATTCAAAACACGCCAAATAAAGAATTTAATGCAATCAGGAAGAGCCACGGTCCAAAGTTTTTTCCAAACGGCTGAGGGGACATTTGAAGGACCATTTGAAGTGGATGGAATAGCCCTAGTTTCCTCCTTGATTGCACAGGCTTGGTGGTAAGCTGAACGTACAGTGTATCCACCGCTGCGATCAAGCTTCCAGTAGAGTGAATCCTCCTGGTTAGAGGGATGTTGAGGCACATACATCTGAAAGATTCTGTCTACAATATGCGGAGGGAACAAAACGTGTAACAGAGAGTAACGCCAGCCTCCAGAAGGGGAAAGGAGTATTGAGACCCGAAAAGATGGACTATTCGCTATGGAATAGGAGAAGGCCAAATGATTTGGAAAATCAGGAATCCAATCCTCTGCCACCTGAATACTATTACGATTAACCATGTCCAATTTAAGACCTGTATTGAGAAGATCTCTGCCCCACAAAACTCCGCGCCAACCCCACGAAGCAGTCCGGCTGGGTTGAACTGAAAGAAAGTGCGTACGTCGGCAGTATTTAGCATGATACACTCGTGAAAGGAGCGTGTGAGGCTGCTGAAGGATACATCAAGCTATGCGACCTAGCATCGCCTGATTCATTTCTGCGGCGGAGCGCATTCCTAGACCACCATGGAAACGGGATTTACAGAGAATGGACCACGCTCTCCAATGTATTTTATAGCCCTCCTGGTCCGCGCTCCAAATAAACCGCGCAAGAAGCTTATCAATGGACTTAGTGACTGTTACCGGGAGCTTAAAAATTCCGATAGCATACTGAGGGAGGGAAGTTAAGACATGACGCGCCAGAACTACGCGACCAATAACTGACAAGGAATCAGTCCGGAATCCAGCAATACGGCATTGAATTTTCTGCACAACTTCGTCAAAGACTGTACTCCGATTCCTGCTAAAGTCCAAAGACATGCCCAGGTAACGAACATCTATAAAATTCTGATCAATGTGAAGGATGTTCCGGAGGAAAGAAGAGAGGCAGGGGTCGGTATTAGGGCTGAAAATCAAACCAGATTTTTCATAATTTACTCGTTCACCTGAGTAGCGTGCATAAGCATCAATTATTCGTGCCAACAAGAAAAAGGTAGATTCGGGGGCTTGAACAAAAAGCAGACAATCATCTGCATACATTAGATGTGATATAATAGGAGCACGACGCGCTACCCGAATACCAATACCACTGCGGCAGCTTTCATGCGCCTGAAGGATTGAGGAAAACAGTTGCTGGGCTATGATAAAGAGAAAAGGAGACAGAAGGCAACCTTGTCTAAGTCCGCGAGTGGGAGAAAAATATGAAGACTGCAGGCCATTGAACCGTACCGTAAAAGACACCGTTTCGAGGCATTGTTGGATATAACCAATCCAGCTATCAGGGAAACCCATCCGATGCAAGACCATATATATAAGAGACACATTCGTAGGCCTTACTCATGTCCAGCTTAACGGCCGCATGTCCTGATTTTGGCCTACTTCGGTGCCGAATATTTTCCATGAGTTCATGGGCAAGGAGAACATTCTCATTGATGGACCTGTCCGGGACAAATCCAGTCTGTTGACTAGTGATCAAATGAGGCATCAGAGGACGTAAGCGATCAGCAAGAAGTTTGGCAATGACCTTGTATTTGACATATTGCACAAACTTATAGGTCGAAAATCTGACGGAACACGAGCCATGTGAACCTTTGGAATTAACACAAGGGCCGTCTGATTCCATTCAGGATCCATCTGAGAATGTTCAAAAAAAGACAAGACAGCTGGCACCAGTGAGGTTCGAATGAGAGCCATATAGTGTTGATAAAAGCCCGCAGGCATCCCATCCGGACCCGGGGACTTCCGAGGATGCATTTTCAATAAAGCAGCCCGGATATCATTTTTTGTAAAAGGAGCCTAGAGTTGCTCTCTTTGAGAATTGTTAAGGGTGGGTAGGGGTTGGAGTAGATCAGAGAGTGTAAGCTGGGAGGCTAACAAAGTTGGGGGAGGTGCTGGGTAGGGATCCGGACGCAAAATCACGTCTGAAAAGTGCTGAAAGATCATATGAGATATAGTTGGGGAGCTGGATTCCCAGGTGCCATCCGGATGTTGGAGTTCATTAACCCAATTGCGAGCTTGGCACTTGGAAGTCCAATGATGGAAAAAGATTGTGTTGCGGTCACCAGCAATGTTCCAATGAAGATGAGCACGCTGTCGCCAATACGTATCTTGGAACTGCAACAACCAGTCCAAATCAGCTCTGAGTCGCTGAACCTTCGCAACTGAGTTGAGGTCCCCCGGCAAAGCCCCTTGAGCCAATTCCAAGTTCTTCCGAAGGAGTCGTATGCGTTGATCCAGAGCTTGATATGATTTGGCATGCCAGTTTGTAAGGTGAGACAAAGTACTGGATAATTTAGATGACAAATGAGACATAGGGGAGGTAGAAGTAGTGGCAGTGACCCATGATCGCCCTACAATCTGATGGGCAGCCGGATCGCGAGTCCAAAAAGCTTCAAACCGAGGCACTCTAGTAGTTTTTTTAGGGTGGTAGCGGGTGTCAATTAACATTGGTCCATGGTCAGAACGCATAATGGGTAAATTTTGAAGCAATGAGTGAGGAAAAGCAGCCAGCCATGTATGCGATGCAAGAGCGCGATCAAGGCGTTCAGAGATACAGGACGATGAAGTTCGGTTATTGGACCAGGTATACCAGACTCCCCTCTTTTTTAGTTCAATTAAACCCAAGGCATTGGTAAGGGTCAATAACGAGGAAGCCTGTGAAGGATGAAAAGGGCGTCCCCCAAGTTAGTCAACAGGCGACAAAATTTGGTTGAAATCACCGGCAAACAAAATCGGGTAATCAAAAGGGGCAATGATTTCTTGTAGTTGTTGCCAAATAGTGGCTTATTTACAGCGATAGGAGAACCGTATACTAACACAAACAGCCAAGCCAAACCATTACCTTCCACTATCTAACAGCAAACAAAGTACTGACTTTTCACAAGGATTTCTAAATTTACTGTAGACGTCCACGCAACAGCTAAACCACCTGCGAAAATTTGGGGAGGAACAACAAAAAGATGTTGGAACTCAGTAGAGTTCCGCCAAGCCTCTAATCAAGAAAAAGAACAACGAGTTTCAATCAAGAAGAGTACCTGAGGATGGTGTGCTTTCGTCAGCCGATATAACATGCGAACCATAGACGGCTGACCAAATCCTCTACAGTTCCAAGATAGAATTCTCATTGATGCTGTGGTGATTGTTAAGGGACAACCACCACAAACCCAACAGAAGGAAGTGCAACCCCGGGTTGCCACCAATCAGGAGGAGAAGCTCGCGCTCGTTTTCGAATAGGCATCAGGATCATGGGCCCAACCAGATAACGCTTAGCTGGCAAAATACAAATTTCAGAGGATTGAGACTTGCTTATCAGAAGGGAAGTAGGACGACATAACCGATTGCCGTTGATTGATCGCAGTCCTTTCCGTCGATGTCCTGTTAAAACAGAGAGGCGTCGCTTTGTGGGGAGTGTTTGAATTTTGGCGCCCTTTTTGTCAAAGCTACAAAGTCTGGAACATGATATGATCTTTGTGGGTTTACGACGGCCCAAGGTCCCAACCAAAGGAGAATCACTGATAAAGCCCAAATGTTGTGAAGTGTAATGGGGGCCTCAACCAGCTGAAATTTCGTGGAGGTGGGAAGGAAAGTGGTCAACGCTAACGTCAGGCACTTGCAACGTGGCATTCTCAGCAGAAGCGGCAGCGCCACCGCTAGTCGTCGCACAGGACACGGTGGCAGCAGCAGGGAACTTCGGGTATGTCACCGGGAGCAACCTCGACACCGGAATCGGGAAGATGATGTGTAATTGGGCTGGTTTCCTGCGGCTGCTTGTCGATCCTTCGCCAAACCCACTTAGCCAACTTAGATCTAGGCTTCACTTGGCAATCCGACTGATAGCCCGGCTGAGTGGAATATATTACCGTGTGGGAGAGTGTAATAGCGAGAGCAGGGATTAATTTGACACCAAAGGATGATATAGATGGGTTTTGGTGAAGATCTCGGATGTGGTGTTTGAGCAGCTCCGCCGTGAAAACAGCCTTGGTGATAGCTTTGCTAAGAGCAGAAAATTTTACAGTTGAAGAAGTAGACCGTGCCAAGACTCGTTTGGCTTGCCGGAGATAGCGAGGGACGCCGTCTTGCGTAGCAATCCGGAGTTCAATCACAGGAGACGCCATGTCTGTTTTAAAGTTATTCAAATCATCCTGTGTAATTGGTTATGACTTTGTGTCAAATACCGTGATTCTAATACCGTTATTCAAATCATACTTACGGTAAGAATTGATTCTAGTACAACTCCCTGTTATTACTTCCTCCTACTCAAAATTATTGGTAGATGTCAAACCAACAGAAATAAAAGATTCTACTCCTAACAAATTTAGTAGTATAGCAATGAGTACAGTCGTCTCCTCAGGGAACAAGGAAGTGGAAATATTTCTAATTAAAAGTAAAGTAACCAAATGGACTAATTTTTGGATTATAACTAATGCATGACAAAAAATAACTGGCGAACAATAAAAGATAGCTTTGGAAAATCAATAATAAGAGAAACTCTAGTCAAAGGAATAATTTCCATCTTGATGTATCCTACTGATTGTTGGTGCAAAGATTAACTCAACAAATGATGAATATATTAGTTATCGTTGTTGGAACCTCCTAACGACTCAGTCTTTTTATTTAACTACCAGCAACTAAGAAACCTTCATTAATCACTCTATAGCCAAAAAACCCTACCTGGAACCTCCTAGGATTTAGTTTTTGACAAGCAAAGACCCAATTCAATTTCAAACAAACAAATCTTGTTTCATTAAAAATTGATTATTTATTCTCACAACACAAGTAAACTACTTACCAAGTAATTATTTGCATTGTCTCTTATAAGGAACAAACAAACCTTGTTGTTCAATAAATTAGATTATCTAGGAGAATTGAATGCTATCCGCTATTCAAATAATGCCTAATAATCATCAATACACATCAAAGAGAATAAATAAATACTCAAAATTCGTTGGTGAAAAGCAAACAGTTAGATCTCACAATTGAATAACATCAAGACTTCAATAAAATCTTTTAACTAGAAAAGAAGTTTAGTTGCTAATCATGGTGAAATCAACCACACAAGAATTGATGATTGACATTACAGAGCTAAAACTGACGAAAACGGAGAGAAATCCTTGTCCTGAGCTCCACCCGTCGCTCCATGTGTTGTGCCTCTTCTCCTCCTTTTCTTAATAATAAGAAAAAGACTATTTATATGCAAATTTAGGGCATCCCCACGTTCAGCCCGTTCAGAAATCGGAGCAACCAATTAATTTTTTTAGAATTTGCAAATTACTCCCTAAAGTTTGCCAAATTACAAATTAACCCAAAACTTTGGAAATTTTTGCACTTTAGTCCCTGTTACAGCGTGTCCACGCGGGAATACAACGTCGTTTCTGGACTTTCCTGCTTCCTTCATTGATTTCGGCCTGGATTTTGTGTGCCCACGCGGGAATCAACCACTTCTTCTCCAACTTGAAACTTGATTCAATAAAACCTTCAAAATCAACACTTTTCTTCTTTTTGTTCCAAATCCTTCCTATGATCAAATTAAGAACCAAAGCACTAATATTAGCATAGATAATATTCAAAACAACACATAAACCACCACAAATATCATGCTAATATTAACATTATCAACTCCCCCACACTTAGATTTTGCTTGTCCTCAAGCAAACTTAAAAAGAATAACTTTTAACTCAACTTGCAAACCACTACTTTGAACCACAAAATTTGGAAATCATTTAAAACACAATCTCAACCACCATGTCACACATCAATCATAAACTTAATCAATTAGGCAATCAAACATAAGCTCCTCTAATACTATGCATAGTCAACAAGATAGTTGCTTCATCCCTAAACTCCATCAATGATTGGAACAAAATCACCTCACCAGTAAGTTCCCTCATTTTCTTTCTTCTTTTCTCTCAAGTGTAGCATATCAAACAATTCACACAAATCAATATCTAGCAGAATACACAAGAATTTAAAAAGGCGTCACATCATCATACACCAAGCAAATAAACTTACCAATAAAGGTCTTTACATAGGGTTGTAATGGGGCTTTAGGTAAGGAAAAGGGTGGATAATTATGGATGTAGGCTTATTATTTTGTCAAGATAGATTATGTATACTTAAACTCCACCATCTTACCATATATCCCATATAATGACATTGCTCATCCTCACACTTCATAGTTCAAGTGTGCTTTGCATAAGAACTTGCAGTGAACTTCTCATATTACATTTACAAACCTATGGCATCTCAAAAATATAATTAAGAACTTGCAATACTCTCAAACAAGTAGAAAACAGGGATTCATGCGATTTTTTTCATTTTTTTTCCGGGTATTTTTCCCTTTTTTTTTCATTTTTCTCATTTTTTTTCGCACGCCCTATATTACATCAAATGCATAACTTAAAACAAGAACACATGCCACTATAATGTCCAACTCTTACCACAAACCCAGTTTAAGCAACCTAATCCAGAGCTTGACAAAAGGGTAAAGGATAAAAAAAAACAAGGCTAATGGTTTAATGTATCTGGAGCTAAAGAAAAACGGTCATGGTTTGAATGGTTCACTAGGGGTAAACATAAATGGGTAAGCTTTTTAAGCTAACTTGGTTAAATCCTAGTGTCTTTATTCTTGTGGCAAGCCATCTACAAGAGCACAGATGTGTCCTAGCTCGGCAAATTCAAGATTAATCCATACTATATATGATATACTTCCCACATAAAAATGTTGAGCATTCAAATACACTAACTATTTGCTCAGAAAAGCTGAGATCACTCAATTTAAAGTAACTTTTTTTTGTGATAATATTCCAATCATTAACTTCAACACTTAAATTCACAGCATATCTGAATAGTACATAGCAAAGAAAAATTTATGTTTTTCATGCTTCACTTTTCAACCTATGATGATTAGCAACATAACAGTTGAAACTTTTGAAAATAGTGGTTAAAACTCAAAATTTTTGAAAAATTTTCATCCAAAACAAGTCTAATTCTTTCAAGTAAGCAATTTAATGAAGACAAATTTGAAACACACAAACTCCTCCCCCACACCTAAAGCATACATTGTCCTCAATGTATAAAACATGCAGAGACAAAGAATAAAAGCACATGCAAACTCCCAAATAATATTAAAGAGAAAAAAAAACGGTACTTCCTTGGGAATTCGTAGTGGAGGAATTAAACTTGATGTGAAGCGGGAGTAACATCTTTTTGCATTGGATCAAAACGTTTGACCACGTAGAAGAATTTTCCTCGAAAGCTAGTTGTCATACTCAAACAAACCTTAAAAAAAAAACTGACTCTACGTTGATTAAATGATTAATAAAAACTACAAAAATCAAGAAATCATAGATCTCAAGATCATCAGGAACAAAAAACTTAACCACCTAGTCGATTTATTCAAGAAAACAAATAAGAAAAATAAAACCATTGGGTTGCCTCCTAACAAGCGCCTTTCTTTAGTGTCTTTGGCTAGACACAACATGTGTGTATCAAGGTGGAAATTCGAAAGCTCCACACACAATCAGAATTTGATACAACTCTGAATAGGCCTCAACAAAACCAAGGTTATATGTCTCAAACTGATATTCAAGCATTGTATCAACAAATAAAGGTGGAAAATAATCTCCTCTAAATGACTCTTTAAAAGTATTACACACTCTCCACACGTAAACACAAACATGAAATTCAAAATTGACATCTATCATCTACCCAAATTCAGGAGGTCTAAGCAAATGTCCATATTCATGCTTAAGATCTATAGGTACGGATCTTAAGTCAACTTTTGATGGTTTTCACTTTTCAAAAATTGTAGGCACATAGTCAAAAGGACAACTGCCATTCAAATTAACTCGTGAAGCACACTTAGCATTCAAATTCACAATTTCCCAACCTAAAGATTTAACTCCATTTATTAATTTAATTCTAGTAGTTTTTCGAAATGACCTTCCTAAGAAAAGTGAAATCAATTTTATTGCAGAATTTTTGTTCAAATCAATCACATCAAAAGTAACAGGCAAAACCAAATGACCACTTTTCACTATAGATTTCTCAATCATACAAGTAGGAAATTGAAGAGACTCGTCAACAATATTTATAGCCACATTGCTTTTAGATAAAGGCTCATGTTTTAATGATAGAATCCATTAATTGTATTTTAATTGTTGATATTTTATTAGTTTATGGACTCGGATGGATTTAATTCATTAGTTTTGTTATTATTTCATGTTAGGAGCTGGAAATAAGAGATTGAAGCTGATATGGGCTAATTTGGACGTCTGGGGACTTGTTTGCAAAATTGAAGAAGTTTTAGGGTAAAAGTGACAAAAATACAAACTTGGAGGACCAATCTAAAAATTTCGGATTTCTTTTCTCTTCTCCAGCGGCTGACCTAAATTTCTATTATAAAGAGTATTCTTAGTTTTATAAAAAGGGCAGCCGTACGTGAGGCAAGGCTAGCACCTCCCACCTCTTGTTTTTCCCGAATTTTCATTGTTTTCCATGGAGAATCAAGCCGTCATACTTCCAACTATGAGTGGCTAAGTTTACTTTTCTGATTCAAGGGATTTAATTCAGTTGTTTCACTTGTGAGGTTTTGTTCTTGGATTTAATTCTTGTCTACGGTTTGAGTAGTTTGTTGATTCTTGTTTAAATTTATAAAAGTGAATACCAATTAAATTGACAACTTGGTTGTGTATTTTCTTTTATTTGCTTTTCTTTGGTTGTATGTTACGTAATTGACACGAACTATTGGAATTTAGTAGCAACTAGGCGGATCTTGTGCATTAGTGAGACTTTGGATGCTATTGTATGCCTGGTAATAGGATTAACAAATCATAATTTAAATTATTGTAGCTATCTCAATGATTTATGTTGTGTCAAGTATATTTCCATCGGATTTATTGCTATCATTTATTTGTATGGAACGCTATCGTGTCCAGCGATTTATGATAAGTGTTGATTAAATGCTAGGTTTGGTCAATGAATTTAGAGAGATTATAGATTTACTATGGCTATCTTGGTATGTGTTAACTTGAAGGCTCGAATTGTAGGAATACTTTTAGATACCTATGGTCAGTGAAATAATTGAATGATCCATCTCTTGAGTCAGAAGTTTGCTATTTTCATTTCTTTTCTTTATTTATTTTATGTTATTTGAGTTTTCAGTATTATAGACTAGAACAACAATTAAAAAATCCATTTGCATTAGTTTGAAGGAAACAATCCATCGTTCCCTGAGGAGACGACCTTACTTTCTCTATACTACTATAGTTTGAAGTAGGTTAATTTATTTGTGGGGCTTGACAACCCATCAAATTGGCGCCGTTGCCAGGGAACGGTGTTAATTGATTTGTTTCCTTTAAATTCTTGTTTTGTCTTTATTATTATTATTTTTTTCTTCTTTTTTTTCTTTTGCAATGGACTATTATGCACATCAATCTTGGAACCGACGAGATGACCATTGGAATAAAAATGAGGTAAGTTCTTCGTATCTTGAGCAAAAATTATTTGAACTGACTTTTCTTGTGAAAAATTTGGCTATAGGTCAACACAAACAAGTCCCAAGATGTGGTCTTTGTTTAATGACTGGTCATACTAGAGATTTTTGTCCAAGATTATCATATTACCAGTGGGAGCCTCAGGATGCCATGAGAGAATCTTGGGGACCAGCACAAGAGAGATACGAAACTAGTTCATACTCATATGATCCAGGCTGGCAGGATTACCAAAGTTTCAACTATGAATATCAGCCATCTCAGCCACAAGTGTATCATGTTCCGGAACCTCCACAGTCTCAAAGCTCAGGTTTGTCTTTAGATGAGATTGTTAACGCTTTGGCAACTAATACTCTTGAATTTGAACAGGAAACAAGAGCAAGCATACAGGATTTGGGGAGCCGAATTAGCCAGCTAGCTAATGCTATTAGCAAGTTCGAAGTCTCAAAGCTTGTGGAATTACCATCTCCATCGGTAGTTAATCCTGTTGAAAGTGTGTGTGCCATGAAAGAGGTGACTCCCAAAGATGATGTATCTCAGAAGAAGGTAGAAAAAGAAATTGCTAGAGAAGAGCCGCATTATGTGGTACTTCCTCCATTTCCGAGGAGATTCTCAAGGGCTGAGTTAGAGAAAATGAAATATCCTTTCATAGAACAGATTTATGGTGTGGAGACTGTACCTACTCAAAATGTAGAAGATTTGAAACATATGGAAATAGAGAAAAATGAATCAGAGGCATTGGATGACAATGAGGTAATTGATCGTTCCATTTTATTTAGTCAAACTAATGCAGCTGATACTTCTTTTTCAGATATGTCAGTAGAGCCAAAGATAGAGGAGCCCAAACAGAAAGTGATGAAGAATTTTTCCAAGAATGAGGTAGTAGTTGGAGAAGATATATCTGGTATGTTACAATCAAAATTTTCTTCCAAATGCAATGATCCAGGTATACTTACTCTACCATGTTCTATTGCTGATATAATTGATGAATGGAAATCTCCAATACTAGAGTTAAAACCGCCACCTATATCCCTAGATTTTGCATATGGACATCTATATCGACCTCCCAAAATAGGGTTAATCGTAGATGCAAGTTTCGTGAGTCTAGATAGATGTGGAGTGTTTAAAGAATCAGTTAGAGGAGACTACTTTCCACCTCATTTTGTTGAATCAATGTCTAAATATGAATTTGGTCCATCTAACTTCGATTTTCTTGGATGTTGCTCAAAATTTTATTTACCGTTGTTAGGTGGAAGTTCAAAATTTCCACCTTAAGACACACCAAATTGGTCTAGCCAAAGACAATAAAGAAAGGCGCTTATTGGGAGGCAACCCAAGTTTACTTGATTGTGTTCTGATTTGTTAAATTAGTTTTGTCAGTTGAAATTTAGTTTTTCATGCATGTTTAGTGTTTTATTTTAGTTTAAAAAAAAAGAATTTGTTAAGCGTGATCATGGGTAAGATAATGTTTGGTTCGCTGCATTTTTATTGGAGTAATTTTCTTTTAGGCGTGATCATGCCTAAGAGAAGAAAGGATTCTGAAATTTTGATTTAATTTTTGATAATGCCCAGCGAATCTCCATCCTTGCTAGACGTGATCACGTCTAACACGAACATTGCCATTTTTTTTAATAAAAAAAAAATACTGTTGTTTTTTTTTCTTTTTCAGGAACCTATAATTCCACATTACCAGCGACGGATTAGCATTTTCACACTATCCATTTCCATTGCGGCAGATTACCATCAACCATCACCATCATCATCATTGTTCACACTATCCATTTCCATTTCAGCACTTTCAATTGCGAAAAACATTCTCTAGGGAAGATTCTAACTCCATCTTTTTATAGCAGTTCCGATTTAATTCTTTTTGCTGCCGTTTTGATGATGGTCTTCTTTGGAGTTTGTTTGTTTTTGAATTGGTGTTGAGAGTATCAATGTTTATAAGTCGCAACTTGTTTGAATATTTTTTTTTCTTCTATGCTGCTATGAGTTGAGTTTAATTTGTGCCTTTAATGGTTGTTTCGTGGGGATTGAATTTGAGTGAATTGAATTTAAATGTGTTGTTGAATCCCACACTATGAAGTTATGCTTAGCTCCTTGGTTTACTTCTTTTGTGTGAGTACAATAAGCTACATTGAGGACAATGTACACATTAAGTGTGGGGGAGGGGTTTCCGTTTTCTTTTGTGTGTTTTCTTGTTTTCTTTTGTGTGTTTTTGCGTGTTTTGTTAAAAAAAATTGAAAAAAAAAACAAGAAAATGAAAAAAATCCAAAAGTAGCCAATGATGAATTTAACTTCAGACTCTTTGAATTGTAATTACATTGGGACAAAATTTTCTTTTGAGTCTGTGTATTATGTGTTATACCCTGAATACTTTACTTGCGCACTTTAGCCATAACTTTGGGATAAGGTTAACATGTATGTGTAATTGCCTAAATTCATGTGATATGCCAAAGTTTGATTTGATTCATTCAGTATTTGTACCATGTGTATGTGGGACCTTGCAATATTATGAAACCCAAAATAAGGCATTAACCCTATCTCACTCCAACCTCGAAAAACGGGGGAGTGGTGGTTTGAAAATAGCCTTTTTACCTTCTTGTTTAAAGTATTTTGTGCTAAGTAAGTGTGGGGGAGGGGTTGTTGACGGATGCTTTTCTGAGGTTAGGTACAATTTAAAGAGGGAGAAAAGGAAGAGCATTCAATGTTGATGCTAACCCATTGATAGGTGGGAAGTCTGGCAAACAACTAGCAGAGTGTCCTCAGGCCCGTCGGTGAGAAAATATGAGTAAGTAGACTGCCCTAAGTTGCTGAGCCACTTTGTAAATCACTACATAAATCAAGTGGAAAAATGCTTTGGGTAGGGGCCTGAGTGGGAAAGATACTGAAGAAAAGCCATATGGACACCGAAGAATGGGTACGAGGGAAGTTCGTTGAATTGTATTATGTGAGGTGTAATTGTAAGCCTTCGGTTTCATAATATGTGCAGGAGTAACATTGCATTGAAGTACGGTCTGAATTAGGAATCCTAAGTTCATTCTTCAGTGGCATATTTGCATTTGAATTTTTGTATTTTATGCTATGTGTGACAGTGATGTCCCTAGGGACTGGTTTACACACACACACAAAGGGCTAAAGAGTAAAAGTATATAATGTATTTGACTTGGTTGTGAATTTTTGTTTCATTGTTACCATGATTTCTTTTGAGTTGTAGAGTTTCTAAGGTGCATCTTAAATAAGAAAAGTTAAATTTCCTTTGTTCTTTAATGCTTGAGGACAAGCATACTTCTAGTGTAGGGGAATTTGATAGAATCCATAAATTGTATTTTAATTGTTGATATTTTATTAGTTTATGGACTCGGATGGATTTAATTCATTAGTTTTGTTATTATTTCATGTTAAGAGCTGGAAATAAGAGATCAGAGCTGATTTGGGCTAATTTGGACGTCTAGGGACCTGTTTGCAAAATTGAAGAAGTTTGGGGCAAAAGTGACAAAAATACAAACTTGGAGGACCAATCTAAAAATTTCGGATTTCTTTTCTCTTCTCCAGCGGCTGACCTAAATTTCTATTATAAAGAGTATTCTTAGTTTTGTAAAAAGGGCAGCCGTACGTGAGGCAAGGCTAGCACCTCCCACCTCTTGTTTTTCCCGAATTTTTATTGTTTTCCATGGAGAATCAAGCCGTCATACTTCCAACTATGAGTGGCTAAGTTTTCTTTTCTGATTCAAGGGATTTAATTCAGTTGTTTCACTTGTGAGGTTTTGTTCTTGGATTTAATTCTTGTCTACAGTTTGAGTAGTTTGTTGATTCTTGTTTAAATTTATAAAAGTGAATACCAATTAAATTGACAACTTGGTTGTGTATTTTCTTTTATTTGCTATTCTTTGGTTGTATGTTACATAATTGACACGAACTATTGGAATTTAGAAGCAACTAGGCGGATCTTGTGCATTAGTGAGACTTTGGATGCTCTTGTATGCCTGCTAATAGGATTAACGAATCATAATTTAAATTATTGCAGCTATCTCAATGATTTATGTTGTGTTTCAAGTATATTTCCATAGGATTTATTGCTCTCATTTATTTGTATGGAACGCTATCGTGCCCAGCGATTTATGATAAGTGGTTATTAAATGCTAGGTTTGGTCAATGAATTTAGAGAGATTATAGATTTACTACGGCTATCTTGGTATGTCTTAACTTGAAGGCTCGAATTGTAGGAATACTTTTAGATACCTATGATCAGTGAAATAATTGAATGATCCATCTCTTGAGTCAGAAGTTTGCTATTTTCATTTCTTTTCTTTATTTATTTTATGTTATTTGAGTTTTCAGTATTATAGACTAGAACAACAATAAAAAAATCCATTTCCATTAGTTTGAAGGAAACAATCCATTGTTTTCTGAGGAGACGACCTTACTTTCTCTATACTGCTATAGTTTGAAGTAGGTTAATTTATTTGTGTGGCTTGACATCTCATCATTTAACAAGTCAAATATAGAACAAGGTAAGTTACTCGAACTAAATTCACCAAGTTGAACCTGTTGAAGATTGCAAAATATAGTGAATATACCAAAGATCTTGCATTTTGGATGAAATTCTGAATTAAATGTCCTATAGAAATTATTGCTTACCGAAATAATCTCATTACCTTTGAGAGAGCTCTCTAAGGCTTCTTTCTCATTCTCTTCCTCCTTTGGCTCCAACAACCTCTCTAAAAGAGATGAAAACATTGCATAAGTAGGACAAGTATACATAGCAACAACACTTTCCTTATCAATATTTTCCAAAGCCTTTTTCATTGCTTCTTCTGCCTCTGCATCTTCAACACTTTCTTCATCATGCGCCTGTGTGGTGTCTACTAGAACATTCTCTTCAGAAGGAATCTCCACATTATCTAGCTTAACCTCTTCTTTAATCGGTCCTCTCAACCTTCCAGGAAAAAGAGGGGGTATCACAATCTTTAGTCGCTCCTTCTTACATTCCTTTATTTCTTCCCTCTTTAGTACATCCTGCTTGATTTGAGTGTCTTCCACCACCATTGAACATTCACTCTCTGTAGCATTTTTCTCAACTTGATCTGGAATCTGAAATGTCTCAGCCTCTAATCTACTAACTTCTGCAACCATCTGGGACATTTGATTCTCCAAGTTTTGAATTGTAGCACAAGTAGATGGCGATTCCTGTATAAGATCATGCACATTAATTGCCAAATTTCTAATCATTTCCTCTAAAGACATACCTGGCTCTGGCGTTGGCATTGGTGGTTGATACACTTGTTGTGATGGTGGTAGTGGGTTGTAGTTGTAATTTGGGCAATCTTGCAAACTTGGATAATGTGTATATGGATTCTGCTCATATCCTCTTCGTGGTGATTCCAAAAATCCTCCTTCGTTACCCACATATCCTCGAGGATGATATTGAAAATTTGGAGAAAAATTAGCTGTGTGGCCGCGCATAGAACATATACCACATGCTTGCACCTGCTTGAGTTGACCTACAGAAGAAGTTAGTTCATCTAGTTGTTGACTGATGGACAAGAGTCTTACCTCATTTGGATCCCAGGTGTTATACTGATGATATCCATATGAACTCATGGCAAAAGTAAAATCTCAAAATAGAGAAAAGAAAAACAAAAGCAAAAACAAAAACAACTTCTAAAGAAAAATAAATCACTTCACCGTGCTCCCCGGCAACGGTGCCAAAATTTGGTGGATGTCAAACCAACAAAAATAAAAGATTCTACTCCTAACAAATTTAGTAGTATAGTAATGAGTAGAGTCGTCTCCTCAGAGAGCAAGGAAGTGGAAATATTTCTAATCAAAAGTAAAGTAACCAAATGGACGATTTTTGGATTATAACTAATGGATGACAAAAAATAACTGGCGAACAATAAAAGATAACTTTGGAAAATCAATAATAAGAGAAACTCTAGTCAAAGGAATAATTTCCATCTTGATGTATCCAACTGATCATTGATGCAAAGATTAACTCAACAAATGATGAATATATTAGTTATCGTTGTTGGAACCTCCTAACAACTCAGTCTTTTTATTTAACTACCAGTGACTAAGAAACCTTCATTAATCACTCTATAGCCAAAAAACACTACCTGGAACCTCCTAGGATTTAGTTTTTGACAAGCAAAGACCCAATTCAATTTCTAACAAACAAATCTTGTTTCATTAAAAATTGATTATTTATTCTTACAACACAAGTAAACTACTTACCAAGTAATTATTTGCATTGTCTCTTATAAGGAACAAACAAACCTTGTTGTTCAATAAATTAGATTATCTAGGAGAGTTGAATACTACCAGCTATTCAAATAATGCCAAATAATCATCAATACACATCAAAGAGAATAAATAAATACTCAAAATTCATTGGTGAAAACCAAATAGTTAGATCTCACAATTGAATAATATTAAGACTTCAATAAAATCCTTTGACTAGAAAAGAGGTTTAGTTGCTAATCATGGTGAAATCAACCACACAAGAATTGATGATTGACATTACAGAGCTAAAACTGACGAAAACGGAGAGAAATCCTTGTCCTGAGCTCCAGCCGTCGCTCCCTGTGTTGTGCCTCTTCTCCTCCTTTTCTTAATAATAAGAAAAAGACTATTTATATGCAAATTTAGGGCATCCCCACGTTCAGCCCGTTCAGAAATCGCAGCAACCAATTAAGGTTTTCTGAATTTGCAAATTGGTCCCCAAAGTTAGCAAAAATTACAAATTAACCCCAAAACTTTGGAAATTTTGCACTTTAGTCTCTATTACAACGTGCCCACGCAGGAATACAGTCGTTTCTGGACTTTCTTATTTCCTTCATTGATTTCAGCATGGATTTTGTGTGCCCACGCGGGAATCGACCACTTCTTCTCCAACTTGAAACTTGATTCAATAAAACCTTCAAAATCTCTTCAAAATCAACACTTTTCTTCTTTTTGTTCCAAATCCTTCCTATGATCAAATTAAGAACCAAAGCACTAATATTAGCATACATAATATTCAAAACAACACATAAACCACCACAAATATGATGCTAATATTAACATTATCAATTATTATCCAATTTTAGTTTTCATTTTTAGTTCAAATTGTACTAAATTAAAAAAAAAACTGGATAATTGGGACAAAGGGAGGATTTCAATATACTACCGGGACTTGAACTTAGTCAACCGCTTATCCAATTTTATCATAATTTTGCAGGAGATATTAATAAATGGTCTATTTGGGGATACTGGATTTCGCCATTGATGTATGCACAAAATGCTATATCTCTTAATGATTTTTTCGGGCAAAGTTGGAGTCAGGTTGGTCATCGTGCTTGTTGTTTATAATGTTTGAAATTTTACTCATAGAAAGAAAACATGTAATATGAAGAATATTCAACTAGAGCTTAAATTAGTAGTTATTTTGCAGATATATCCGGGATCAGGGATGCCATTAGGTATTTTGGTGTTAAAGTCTTGTGGTGTTTTTGCTGATGCTCGCTAGTATTGGATCGGAACAACAGCTCTTGTTGTATTCAAAATTTTATTCAATTTCTTTTATACAATTGCTCTAACATTTCTTGACCATAAGTAACTCATCAAGATCGCGATTTTAATTACTTGATGTCATTATCATATAGTTAAACTTATTTTATACGTATATGAATTCTTCAATTTGTAGCAATGTATTTTCTTTAGCAACTAAGAAAGCACACTCAAGTTTACTCGAGGAACCTTCAGCCAAAAACGCATCCCTCCACATCAGAGAAGCCGTTGAATTGAAATCAACAAGTAAGGACTCATAGTTTATTTCTCATTTGTAGTCTTTTTTTCTTATTATATTTGTTAGAAGTCGAAGTGATGCTAATACTAGGTGGAACTGCGAAAATGTGCAGGCAATCAAAACTGGATAAGGCAAGTATGACATCGAAAGTACAAAACATGACGGGAATACAATAGACAGGAAGCGGGGAATGGTTTTACCCTTTGTTTCGCTTGAACTTACCTTTGAAGACATATGATACGCAATAAAGATGCCAAAAGTGATTATCTCAGACTTAATTGTAATCTTATTATAGTTTCTTTTTCTTCATATATAGTTAGCTTTCACATTCCAATCAACTTGCATAACTCTATAGACTTTATGAATAAGATTGCTTATTAGGTATTGTCTAGTGGAAAGGCTATACGTTATGATCAAAACATTTCTAATGGATGAAAATGTTTATGAACATAACCTTTTATCAGGAAATGAAAGCCCAAGGATTCATGAATGACAAACTTGAGCTCTTGAAAGGTGTCAGTGGTTGCTTCAAACCCGGAGTTCTAACAACTCTTATGGGAGTAAGTGGAGCCGGGAAGACAACATTGTTGGATGTCTTCGCGGGAAGAAAAACAGGAGGATATATCGAAGGAAAGATCACCATATCGGGGAACCCAAAAAAGCAAGAAACTTTTGCACGTCTTGCTGGATATTGTGAGAAAAATTATATTCATTTTCCTCATCTTACAGTGTACAAGCAGCTACAATATTCTGCATGGCTTCGTCTACCTTCAGAAGTTGACATGGTTACAAGAGAAGTACAATTAAATTTAGCAGTTACAAACCTTATACATTTACTAAAATAACTATCATCACAAAAAAGAATTAAACATCCATGATCATTGTTACAGATCTTTGTTGAAGAAATAATGGAGCTAGTTGAATTGACAAAAACAAGAAAATCCATAATCGGCTTGCCGGGAGTAAATGGCCTTTCAATTGAGCAACGAAAGAGGTTAACGATCGCGGTTGAGCTTGTAGCTAACCCTTCAATTATATTCATGGATGAACCTACCCTAGAACTTGATGCTAGGGCAGCTGCAATAGTAATGAGAACAATAAGAAATACTATGGATCCTGGAAGAACTATGGTTTGTACCATCCATCAACCTAGTGTTGATATATTCGATGCCTTTGATGAGGTGTGTTTTGTGATCAATTGTTGCAAACTTCTCTACCGATTTAAACATGAAATGCTAATTTGGAGACATATTGATTGTAGCTATTGCTTTTGAAACTTGGAGGTGAAGAAATATATGCAGGTCCATTAGGGTACCATTTTTCTCAACTGATTGAGTATTTTGAGGTGAATGCCCGAAGATGGTCAACATAGATAATTCAACAATTCATTCTCTTAGTTTATAAATAATTTCTCGACGATGACTTTCCTCTTATATGCTTTTTTTACTTGTTAACGGTTTTACACAGAACATTAATGGAGTAAAAAACTTTTATACACGGTCAAAATCCTGCTACTTGGATGATGGAAGTGTCTTCAGCTGCGCAAGAAGCAACTTTGGGAGTTGATTTTGCATCTATATACAAAAGTTCAAAAGCTTACATGTATATTGTTTTAGATTATAGCCACATTCTTGATCCTAATATAGAAAGCCGGGATTAAAATGGAACCTCATAATATGTTCCACAACACATGCTTCTTTATTCAAGTCAGGGTTTGATAACTTAAAAATATATACACTTTTAGCAGGCATTTCTTACTCATTTCTACTTATAATTTAGTGTTAATTAGTTAGATTTAGTTTACTTTTGGGGTGATTTTGCAGTTCAGGTATCTTAGCGGACCAATGTGGAAAATTAGCATAAAAGAGGGCCAAATTGCACAAAAAGGCATCAGAATGGACTGGAATGGAAGCTGCTGGAAATTGAGCTGCTGGAAGATCGATCAGAGCTAAAGCAAGTGGAAAAATCCTTGCTGTGGAAGCAGGATTGATAGCAGATGGACTCAAGTGGAAGACTCTACAACAGCTACCTCAAGTCTCTGCTGCCAAGTTGCTGCCAAGTTGCTATTGCTGCTGTCAATCAGGAAGAGCCAAGGCTGAATTTTTGCTGCCAAAGGAACTTGTTTTGCCAACACTGCTAGTTATAGCTGCTGCAAGTTGAAGAAGAGAAAGCGGGAGAATATGTGGAAAACAACAGCTACAACCTGCTACTTACCTACTGTAACTGCTGCTGCTGAATTGATGGATTGGCTGCTATAGTCATGTGAAAAATGGTGTTGCAAGTGATCACAAGAAATAAGGAAGGAAAATGTAGAAATATTTGGGCTGGATTGGGGGCAGAAACACAA